CGAATGAGTTTTTGGAACACTGAAACAAACTAGTCAAGCCTTTTATAGAAATCTCTCATCTTATCTTAATTATTGTAGAAGTCATTTCTACCATCAATGCCTCCCAGTCCATCACCTAGTAGCGGTCTGATTGCTAGGCAGTGTTACGATTTTGAAGACCAGAAAAGACGACGATGGGCCATGCTTTGTCGCTCACTGGAGGAAATACTCATAACTGACTCTGTTTGTGTCCCTTAGTCGCATATTCTCGCATATTCATTTTCCTTTCAGGATTCTACGTTGCGTGAAATGGCATCTGCAGAAGACTACGCAGCTTTGTTCCAAGTACAAATGGTTTTGATGTTCGAATGGGTTGAAAAATTGCCAGAATTTTGCCTTCTTTTAGATCCCTTAGATAAGGTATCTCCAATGTTCTCGTACCTACCTTACCCACATTTAATTCTGCTAACCTTTAATTACAGACTAAACTTTTACGTGCCTTTGCCCTACGCTACCTTTTACTGGATAACGTTTTTCACACCATGGAACTTGGATATGAGGATAGAATAGTGCTTGTGAATAATAACTATATGAAACCATTCGAAACCCCTCCTATACCCCAGAACGACTTAGCAGATGAAAAAAGAGTTGAGCTCATGTAAGTTCTAAATTTTGATTATCTGGATGCAGCTGCGCATTTGTTCTCCTTTTTGGAAATAGATTCTTCTTGTTGGTGTATCTTAGAACTGGAATATAGCTTCATTTCCTAAGCGTTACGCGACATAAACTTTCCTTTGTTTAGGATGTATGGTACCGAGGCGCAAGCATTACTCGACGATCTAGTCATACCTATGAAACGTATGGCTTTGAAAGTGGGTGAAATGATGACCTTACGAATGATTATGTTCTGGAATCCTGGAAATGTCGGATTAACGCCTAATGGTATCGAAATTGCACGAACTGTGAGTTTGAGGAAGTAATCTTAGCGATTTTCTCCTTTTCAAGCTTATGTGTATTTTGGTTTTGACATATACGTTTACTTTCTAGGCGTCGAACAATGCAGTCAAAGAGCTTCATCAGTATTTTGAAGGGGAAGGCATAACTGATGTGGAACATCGAATTGGCAATCTTCTACTCCTTTTGCCTGCCTTTACCGTTAGTGTCTTTTAGTTCTTATTATCGAACCATGTAACATTGTTTTTCTAGAAACATGTGCGGTACCTGTATGAATTGGTGAAACTTATTCCTTCGTTTGGCAAAATGAATGAATGGGACTCATTTATGGACGTCCTTCTGAATGGTTTATGAACTCGGCCTATTTTTTCATATTTTATTGTATATTAGCGTTTCTAACCCTGTGTACATAGTCTTTTCTTCTAACCACTGTTTCAGGTATCTGAGCAAAGCTCACTTTTTGCTTGTTGTTGAGAGAGCTTTGCTTTTACACTTTCCCATTTTCCATTGAAATCCAGAAGTTGCCGTTTTTTCCTATCTGTAATCTTACTTGTAGATGTTTCTAGCATTTCTTGACACATTGTAGAAGATTCTAGCGTTTTATCAGTAACCTATTTTCAATTGTGATTACTTCATGCAGGATTCACCGCTGTATGTGACAGATATCTAGTCTTCAATTGATGTTGTTCAGAGAAAAACGGGTTTATGTCACATATTTGTTATCGGCAATATCTGCTACTTAAATAAAAATTTTATTGCGTAAGCTTTTTTCACTCCATCTCGAAAAAGTGACTCATTGTTTGTGCTTTTCCAATAGCTAGAAAGAGCAGTCCATCATTAGTTCAACAATTTATGCAGTTTAAGGAATTTTCCGATAATGGTATGACTTTAGAAGCACATTCTTACTGGGTACA